TATAGGCAGATAGCCCCTGAGTAGCTTTGCGCGAAAATTCTAAACCAAATAAATATAATCTAATAAAAGTAAATACAGTTATCTTTGTCAGAGGAGAAAGTCACAATTATCCTGATCTTTTAACGATTCCTCATTTAATTATCTCTCGTTTCGTTCATAACTATCTGAGCGTTCATTCTTTTTATGGTTTATTTTTCCTGAAAACAAATTTTAAGGTTATAGTTTAAGTTTTTGTTTTGATGAAGCAGCTAACATACTGGGTAACTTCATGAACTAGCCAATAAATTGGAGGTAAGGTACAAATTAAGGTATCTTGTTTAAAGTCTCGATTTTTATTTTTTAAAGTGTTTTTATCATTTAAGATTATTAATGGTCTTATCTTGTAATTTGTAAAATCTGTGAATAGTTTCTTGTTTTTGAAACTTTGCGAGTCGTTTTGCTTTCAGTAGAAATTATACAAAGTGAAAACTTTGGAGAATTCACCATGTGATAAAACTGGATGATTGACCATAACTTTCAGGCTAAGTAAACTCAAGTAGCCATTTGGTTTGTTTCTAGGTGTTTGCATAGTTTATTCTGCTCGTCAGCTGCCCATTCGTTACTCTTTTAATGGTTTCGCAAACTGTTTTGTTTCTTTGGGATTACATAAAGCCCTTAGGCACACTTCAATTAACTTCTTGTTTGTAAAAACTCCGAATGTTCTCATTTGTTTTCTGTGTGTACAAGTTTAACATGATGCATTATTTTAGACTTCAGACTTCAAGCAATGATATGTAGATATACAGTTACACAAGTTGCGCCACCTTGTGTAATTTTTTTATTTAATTATCTTCAAATTTATATTTAGTTATTTAGTTGAACCAGAGGTGGTTCGAGTGCACATTCAAATACTTTATTAAATTACAAAGAAATGTTGCATATGCTAGTACAATAAGTTTCATGTCTTTCGACGTTGTTCGTTCTTGATGGCTAATTATCCTGATGCTTATTAATTGTGTAAAATCTTACGTGTTTGATAGGAAATAACAAGACTAAATCAAATCACAAGTATTGTCAGCAGGGATATGTAAACAGATTGATCAGAAGAGAAATGGAGACACATAAAAAGATGTTTAAGTGCGAAAGAGGGCCTAACTATTGAGTGAAAAGAAAGGCAACTTGTGTTTTAACGCTATGTTAGTTAAATACTTCGTGCATAAAACTAAGATTAAGTTTTTCTTAGAGCCGTTGGATATTTAGACAAACAACAAAGACGCACACCTCAGAAAGAATGAAACTTCTAAAAAAAGACTCATAAAACATTTCTCTCACGTTTAGATTTGGAGAAGAAAATCGTTTCTTGACTGTATACCAAACCTTTAAATCCTGTAGTGAATTATAAATATAATCAACAATACTTTAATGATAAAAAGTATAAATTCTAAGTAAACCAAGTAGTCTTCTTATGTTTTTATATTTATCAAATAAACAAAAATATTTACACACGTTGTCAGTGATAGCTCAAACCGTTGTTAATCTTTTTCAATAAGTTGTCTTTGAAATACGAAATGTCCGACTGATTTTAAATGTCCTATCAGTTGTTGCTCTTTACAAACAACTGGGGTTGTTTTCGATATTATTCTTTCTTATCATTAAAAGCAAATAAATTATTTAAAACATCTGACCAGGAATATTTGATATCTAGTCCAACAGGTAGACAAATCCTAAAAGTATAGTAGATACCTATGATATTGCAAGATCAGCATTTATAGATATGTTTAACATATATAGTACAATTAAATAACCCATATAATTTGAACGATTTATGGAAAATGAAGTTTTTTTCTTCAGGAATAAAATGAATAAAGATAAATTTACCTTCAAAAGGTTCGGGATTTTAGCTTTCTTTAATCAGATTCAGCTAGTTTTGAGACTATATATTTTCTTGTATCTGCAATATTAAATCAAATACTGTACAAGAAAATGCTCTAACTTCCAACTTATTTTGCAATAGATTATTTTTACACGTCGAATTTTTCAAGATTTTTCTTTATCAAACCAGAAAGAAATTTCTAGAAAAATGTATTCTCAAAGAACGAATATACTATGTCATTCACGAATACGCTTTCTTACAGTCTTTCGGTTGTAAGTTTCGTGTGTTTTCAATCTCTCGCAAAGCTATTTGAAGGCTATCTGTACTATCCGTCCCTAATTTAGCAGTGATAGACTAGAGGGAAGACGGTTAGTCAACACCACTAACCGCCAACTCTTGGACTACTGGTTTACCAATAAATAGTGGAACTGACCGTCATATTATAACTCCCTCTACGGCTGAAGGGGTAAACATGTTCGGTGACAGGGATTCGATCCCGTGATCCATGGATTGCGAATGGAGCTCTCTAACCACCAGGCCATGAGGTTGTAAGACAGTGCTTTCATCTTTAGCTTTTAAAACAGTACTTCCGGTCTTTAGTTTGTAAAACAAACTTTATTTTGTTTGTCTTGAGAGGTTTATAATCTAACTTCACAATAAATTTTAAGACAAATTTCACCATTGTTTTGATTTCTCTAGAAATGTTATAGAAACTGCTATATTTCTTGTTCACTACACTGGAATGTTATATCTTCAAGAAGGCCAATTACCCGACAGAACGTCATTCACAATAATCTAAAGGCGAGTGGTTAAGAAATCAGTCACTTGAAACGCCATGCTTGATTTAACGTCTTGAAAGAGGATCGTACTTACTTATAGCTGACTCAAACAAATTTATTGGAAACTTACGCTCGTAAATCAATGTTCTTCCACAAATTGTAAAGAGAAATGACGAAAAAAATAATTTTTCTAGTTACATTTCAACATATTAACCAATTATTCGAAAGGTAAAAATTAAACCAAATCATTACCAGTTCTTTGAGGATTTTTTTCACATGAAATTTCTGGTGTTACTCGTCAATAGTTAATAAATTTCTTCGGTGCAAAATGATTTCCAAATAATTTCGATAAAGTTAACAGCCAATTAATAACTACACTTATTATCAACTGTGACTTAAAGGAATAACTTTTCCAAAGACAGCAATTCAACAACGTGAATGTTCCTTATCCTCTTGATGTGGTTTCATTCCTCTCGAGCTTAGTTTCCTCTCAAGAAGAAAGATTTGGATTTGCTGACAACAGACTAAAGTACAGCATCAAAAAGAATGGGAGAACATAGCGAAAAAATAATGATAAGGAATGCCTTTAGAGTTGACGGAAGTTCAATACGTAAGGTGATTTGTGAACACATTGAGAAACCGGGCCAAACCTGTAATGCTTCGTCATCACTGTCTGCTCTAACCAATCCAGGCACCCAGTTTATGTGTATAAGTGCGTTCGCTGAACTTATAAAGTAACTCGCTGCCTGGTTGAGTTTCGGCTTCATTGCGTGTAGGTGAATTTAATGGAACAGTGTTTAAAATGATCAAAAGTTTATTTGTAACACAATAGACCGCGTTGATGGGAAAAATATAATAATTAAAAAGATAATCATACGCTGAGAAAGAACACGTTTTTCACCACACGGAAGCTAGAAAATGATATCTGTAATTTTCATAAAGATACTTCTGAGATCACAATTATAATTAAAACAACAACTCTGCTTTTCCAATGTTAGGCATTCTTTATTGCATTTTACATTTAATTTTAATGGAATCTATAAATAGCTATAAGAAATTTAAAATAAGATAGAATTATAATATTTTTCTAGAAATTCAAAACAATAATAGCAAAAACTGGGAAATGCTTATTTTTTTACGTTTCTCTTTCATTCACGATACTTCGCGCGGAAAGTACTACAACACACAGAAACACTAATAAGCTAAACGTGATGTATTTTGATGAAATTAAGTTGAATGGACAGCAACTGCCTGTTTTAGAAACAGAAGTGTAGGGGACAAACTTTCGAAAGTGTTCCGCCTTTGGACCTGAAGACTTTCCAAACATCGTCCTTTACATTTTGTTTTTGTATAACAACCAGTTGCCGTCCGTTCAACTACATTTCATCATGAATACTCTGCCTAAACAATTTATCAAAGAACTGGTGTCTTTTTTTTTTTTTTTTGCTATTTTTCTTACTTTAATGTCATTAGCGATTAGTTAAAGATGCGGTAATTCATTTCTTGCTAAACGAACTATTTACCAACTGAACTGAAGGTTTAATTTATTACCTACTATCAGCAAGACCCTTTTTAATAACTTAAATTTCAACAAAATTAAACCTACTATATAAATTTAACATAACTTTGTTGTTTATCCCTGGGTGAAGTGGAGTACTTTTAAAAACATATCGTATAATACAAAAATCCTACAAAAAACAAACATTAGCAAAACTAAAGCCGCTAAGAAAAGAAACATAGTTTTGGTTTACTGTAACATGCCAACAGGTTGTTATTAATTTATTATTAGATGAATAGAAATAGAATACCTGAAAAAAAAACATTTTTAGCCACAAGAGATCGTGCCAGTAAAGCTCCTAACCTGTGATGGCGTGAACTTTGTTTAACAACCATGAAAAATGTAATTTTGGGAAGGAAATGCAGCTATAACAAGAGCTAGCTTATTATACATATAATTACTGAATACATGCATAATACCATACTTACAAGCAACGTTTGATAAGGAGGTGCTGCGGGTAACGGTCGTGGCCTTAAAGCTGCCTTTTGGGGACCAGGATTTCATATATTCACATTAAAGATGTATGTTATATATATATGTGTGTGTGTGTGCATCAACATGCTTTAACAATCAAGACGCCATAGAATATCCTGCTCTCTGAAAGGAAGTAATAAATGTTTACATCCGTATTTTAACCATTTAGTGATCTCATGCCTTTTGCAACCGTTTTTGTTAGAGTTTTGATTTTCTCGTTTTCCTTTTTATTCACATAATAAGTTTGTCCGCTTTAGTTGTTTTTTTTTATCATTTAAGGGCATTTTACTTAGGTCCTACAAAAACAAAATACAAACTTTTTTTTCATTTTTTGCAGGTTTTAAATGTCTCTGAAGAAGATTTTCTAGTGGCCATGGGAGTCAGTTTTGTTTCCTTTGTCGGCCAATATGGCTACGACCAGGTCTTGTCAGTTTTAGGTCGCCATATGAGAGATTTTTTGAATGGCTTAGACAATCTCCATGAATATTTGAAATTCAGCTATCCACAGATGAATGCCCCTTCATTTTTTTGTGAAAACGAAACCGCTTATGGCCTGACTCTTCATTACCGAAGCTCTCGTCAAGGTTATCTATGGTATACCATAGGGCAGATAAAAGAGGTTGGACGCCATTTCTATGACACAGACGTTCATGTTGAAGTGCTCAGAGAAGAAAAATCTGGGAACAGTGTACATGTTATAATGCACCTTACCTTTGATAACACCGCTTTTCAGTTAGAATATCAACAGCAAACAGCTGAAGTAGACAGGTTTATGCTTCCCATTAAAGCCTGTTTGTTTCTTGAAATATTTCCGTTTTCAATTGTTTTCGACAAGAAACTTCTGATTAAAAGTATAGGAAACAGCCTTCAAAACGTAATGCCGAGCCTGATGGGCCAAAGATTACCGGACGTTTTCGATCTAACCCGGCCAGTGATAGAGTTTTCATGGAAATCGGTAAGTTTTAGTTTTCGATCTAACTCGGCCAGTGATAGAGTTTTCATGGAAATCGGTAAGTTTTAGTTTTCGATCTAACTCGGCCAGTGATAGAGTTTTCATGGAAATCGGTAAGTTTTAGTTTGTGTCTCTAAAATTTGATTTTCATGAATAGTTTAGTTAAATTCGAGAAACGTCTAAGCTGTTTACTTTTGCGTTAAATATTAAGCTATATATTCTCAAATGTTTCTCATTTAATTGTTCACTTTTGACACTCAAATACCAAAATAATACAATGTAAATACAAACAGATAAAATCCGAAGTGTTTTAATGTAAACCTATGTTTATTTTAACTTGTTTACATGTCATTTTTTACATTTTAATCTGTTTTTGCTTCAGTGCTTGTTTTTAAGCACAAAGCTACTCGATGGGCTGCCTGTATTATGTTCACGGAATGGATCGAACCCTTGATTTTAACGGTATAAGTTTTCAAACTTACCGCTGAGCCACCTGACGGCTTATTTTAGTCAGATGTCAGAAAAACACGTAGGTTCAAGAAGTCTTGATACAAATGATAAAAAACCTATTACCCAGGCGCTTTCGAAAGGTGGGCCTTTCTTCTTCTTTAAGAGTAAACTTGACCCTTAAAATTTAATTTTTGCCATTTATTATATTTTGTAATAAAACATGCGAGAAAAACAAACAATTCATTACAAAAGCCGTTACTCAAGCTCATTTGAAAAGAGTTGTTCATCTTTTCGGGAGTTTGGAGATATATTGATATAAAAAAAGTTTGAAATTGGGTTTTGCTTTAGGCGACGAGTTCACTCACCGTGAATAGTTAGGTTACATTTAGCAGAAAATGAAATTACCTCAGTGAGAGATCATGATTAATGCACAATGACAGGTAACCATATCACACTGCATTATCAGTAGGCCTGCGTTAAAATAAAAATACGGCATGAATGTGTGAAAAACAGATTCACGATGAAGCATATTTCAATATCCCAAGGATGATGGTGACATTAATAACAATATTTCACTGGCAAATAGTCAACATCGTAACACTTAATCTACTTTTATGTGTTTATACGTATTTATGTTTCAGCTAATCATTGTTCATGTGATGTGTCAAAGTTAGAAACATTAAACTTTGTACAGATATGTGTGTATGGTCGGAATTGTTCGTTGTACTTAATGCTGTCAAATGTCCGTTATAATGTTAAGCTGCTTCGTGGACTTATGTGAGCAACTCTAAAGACAATTCTATAATACTAAAACTTCTGGACATTTCATAGAGCCTCATTGTGTTAGGATCAAATGTCTCAAAAATCTAAAGCCACATTTAATGCAGTCTTATGTAATAACCCATGAAAGCTATGATTTGCAACTATAGACCGTACATTCTGAAGTAACATAATACGAGAAATTTTGCACTGAAGAGCCGTGGGGGGTATAATTTAAAACGTAAAATACTACATGTAATATACGGAATATCAGTTTACTGTGTGAAACGTCTCCAGAAGGTTTAAGAATTACATTCTGTAGTGCAGAATATCACACATAAAAACTGGAGACTTATAGATAAACTTGTGAAATATCACACCTGTGATGAAGAGTATTACAGTTTGTTGTTGAAATTATCACGCCTCGAGACAGCCCACCGTCTGTCTGGTCAGCAGTTCAAAATTAACGACGGTGGCAGGTAGTCTTGGTAACTTTGTCATAAATACATTTGGAAATAAATAATTTATAGCTTTCTGTGAAATACTTTTTTTTTCTAAAACTTACCATCATTCTTATTGTTTGCTCAAAGATAAGGCCAGGCATAGCCTTGTGGTTAGCGTTCCCTCACTTTGAATCCGCGAATTTTTGGTTCGCGACCCGCTGAAGCATAAACGTGCCCTTACTTTGGGGCTAAGAATGCTCTTTAAAATTATTCATGAAATCACAGTATTCAATCCGACCAGAGTAGTACAAGAAACTTTCGAAAATTACGGGAAAATATGCGTAAACTTGCGCAAAACGCTAAAGTAAAATTAGGATTCACTTTATGTGTCATTGGTAGATACACAGAGCTAAGTTTACATTGAAAACTAGGCCTAGGCAGTTGGGTGTTCTTCTTTCTAATGAATTCGTTTCCTGAACGAAAATTATTTTCTAGCTTAGTCTTGCTTCAACTAACTTACTTTAACTTATGAAACTATGCGGTTTTATGTACACGGTAAATAAGTTGTCAATCGGGAAAATCTTATGTAAAATGCCATTCAAAATCTCATAATATATAACCCTCTATGAAAAAAATATTCAGTATTGGAAATAATTATGGAAACGGAAAGGTGACGCACGTACAGGAATCATGAGTAATTGCAATTAAATGATTAGTTTATCCTGAGTACAATACATTATAACAGAATATGCAAATTCAAAAATAATAATTGTACAATGCATTAGTGTTTCATATTTGCTTTAAGACAGATACTCCTTGTTCTATGCTAACATAAATTTACCAACCTATGATTCCGAATTTTTTCTAGATCTCTTGTATAACTCTCCACCATTCAGACAAGTAGTTTGGTCACTGTTTGACCTTCTCTGTTTCCATTTAATGTCATAGATCCTTATTAATATTTAGACTGGGAATTTATTCTGGCCACAACATGATTGTGTGTGTTCCATTGCCCACTTTTTTTTTCACCACATGTGGCTCAAGCTTAGGATCATGTCTTGATGAAAGATAAATTCCTACCCAATATGACTTGTCCTTGAGGGAATACATAATGGATAATAATTTGCTTGCACCTGTCAGCAGTCAGGGTACCATCAGTTTTGTGTAGATCTCCAGCAGCAATAGCGAGATGTAGCCCATAATTTTATTGGCCCTCTTGCATACTGCGCTGTAGATGTAGTATGTTGATTGCAATATTGTTCTTCTCTCTCTGCCTTCGAATAAACTATTGTTGATTATTGCTAAAAATTTAAATTTGGATTTATCTGTACAAAACACTCTCCTCCAGCTTTGTCCCTCGCATTGTTTGAAGTTTGATGCCACTTCAGCTTATTAGTTGATCATCTCTCCTAAGCTGTAATTGTTGATTGTTGCTAAAAATTTGAAATTGGATTCATCTGTACAGAGCACCCTCCTCCAGCTTTGTCCCTCGCATTGTTTGAAGTTTGATGCCATTTCAGCTTATTAGTTGATCATCTCTCCTAAGCTGTAATTGTTGATTGTTGCTAAAAATTTGAAATTGGATTCATCTGTACAAAACACTCTCCTCCAGTTTTGTCCTCGCATTTTTGAAGTCTGGTTATCTCTCCTAAGCTGTGGTTTTTGAGCAACTACATGGTTCACTGAGGCCCCATCGTGCTAGTGTGTGTCTCACTGTTCTGAACGACATTCACACTTGTACTTACAACTAGGTTATTGACAAGATCTCTACTGGATTATCGTGTAACATGTAAACAGCATATCCTGAATTACTTAATTTCACTTTTTCAAGAGTGGGGTTTATACCTAGACTACTTTTAAATCAACGTACTCATTTTACTTGCCCTTTTTAAAGTTTTCATAAAGATTCTCCTGAAACAAAAAGTTTCACCTCAATCTGTTACATGGAGTAGCCTTCACAAGTCAAAATGTTGATTTCTACATACTTGTCATATATCATTTTGATATTGATAACTGTGAGTACATTCATTGCATACTGCAGGAATAATATGACTGTCTGTACTTTTATAGACATTATATTTATGTGACACTGTTTGAATGATTGGATGACAGCCATTCATAATGTCAGCTACCAACAAGTGATTGTACTCTGGTTCAATTAATTTCAGTATACTAGAGAGGAAGCAGTCCCATAATAACTGCATTTTATATTAATCGTATTCACTGTTTCCATAATTATTTTCAACACGATACATACATATTTGATCCCAATTTGAAAGGTAAACATGTAGTTTTTATCATAACAAGAAATGCGTACACTTGTGTGAGACTACACAACACAGTGATTGGGTCAAAGTTTATGCACATCTTATTTGTGTGGTTTTACAAATTTGAAAAAAAAAACAGAAACATTAACCAATCAACCATGAAATATGTTACAGATTACACATATAACTATTGTGACAAATTTGCAAGTTTCGATTATTTAGACTAACTATATTTAAATTCCAGTCCTTTTGTTTAAAGAAATACAATTTTAATCCATATCATTAACGATCTTACTCTTCTCAGCACTCGTATTTTTGAATTCAAATAAGTCTAAATGTTAAAATTCCCAATAAAAATTTTATAACGATAGCTAATATTACCAAACGTATTTGTTGATTGTGTAGCTTTTACACAAAAATAAAAGAAGTTTTTAGTTTCTCAAGTATATTTGTGGAACGTATAGGTTGTGTATCTACAGTAAGGAATAGGTGTTTAAAAAATCTCATATTTCTCTGTTCCTTTACAATGAGATAGATATAATTTTGAATGATAGTGAAGAGAATTATGGGAAATTATAAGATTACACAGCCTATCAATAAGTAAATATACACCCACGCCAGAAAGAATGTCATTTATTTAATAAAAAACATGAAATAAAGAGTCCAATATTACCAATAATATTTAAAAGATTTCCCCTTTGCAATGGGCGCTCGACTTGAAATCTGAGGGTCGCGGGTTCGAATCCCCGTCCCGCTAAACATGCTCGCCCTTTCAGCCGTGGGGGCGTTATAATGTGACGGTCAATCCCACTATTCGGTGTTAAAAGAGTAGCCCAAGAGTTGGCGGTGGGTGGTGATGACTAGCTGCCTTCCCTCTAGTCTTACACTGCTAAATTAGGGACGGCTAGCGCAGATAGCCCTCGTGTAGCTTTGCGCGAAATTCAAAACAAACAAACCCTTTGCAATATTTGCGGAGAAATACAGATACACATTTACAAGGTCTGAAATTTGTGCCTGTGGAATTGTACCCAACTCCTGGCGAAGAATTTGGATGAAAGATCCTAGAAATTGGTTGTTTGTAATCTTCAAGGATGGCGATTGGACTGGCCACAGGCGATCGTTTACACCATACCTTCAAGTCAGCTTTTTATGACTCAGGTTGAATGAGCAAGAGCCCCATCTTGCATGAAAACATTGCCTTGTGGTCATTGGCATAGACAGATAGGAGGCGTTTCTCGAGACTTCAAGCAGCAGCGACCGTCCCTTCTCACACCACCAACTGTCTGTATGGCACCCTACATCATAATAGAAACACTGCCGGTTTTTAGTCGTTGTTTGCATGCAATTCAACGAAAGTTCCTTGGAGGGCAATTGCCACACCCACGTGGAGCTCGTCAGAACAAATTTTCCAAAAGAAAGGAAGATGCGATAGCACTTGTAATGCTGTAGAGTTAGGATATCGCCTAGAGTGGGAAATGGCTTCCGTCTAGCTACTCTAACTCTGTAGCCCCTGATATGAAAATTACTTCTGACGGCATTTCGGCACACTTAAATCTGTCTTTAAACAGTGGCTGTCGTTTGACGTGGGTCATTCTGTGCAATCCTCTTCGTAACAGAAAAAAAAGAGTTTATTATGTTGACTGTGGGTGCCCGGGCAATACAGAATTTGTTGCCTTTAAACGTGACTGGAACTGCATTATCATCCTCTTACTTTCCAGGATCTTTTCGTTCGTGGTATGGTTGTTTTATATTGTGTGGCCTATATCTGTGTTTATGTGTCGGGTTTATTTGCATGTGGAATCATGTAGATGATCGATTTGTATTCTCGTGGTTGTCTATTTACTTAGTGGCAAGATTTGCAGTTTCAGGCGAGATAGTAAAGAGCCTGAAAGCCTCGAGAGTGAAAGGATCCATGATATACTAGAGACCCATTTTACCATTCTAAAACGTTTCATCATTTAGTTTAAAACTGAATTTTTTCAGTTTAATAACACGTTCCAGAGACCAAACATATTTTATTTAACTCATTAATCCTCTCAAAGTCGGCTAATTCCGTAATGAAGTTTATTTGTTCGTCTCTAGTTAAGTTTACTCACCAAAGGTGAAGTAATGAAGTTTATTTGTTCTTCTCTAGTTAAGTTTATTCCCCAACGGTGAAGTAATGAAGTTTATTTGTTCTTCTCTAGTTAAGTTTATTCACCAAAGGTGAAGTAATGAAGGTTATTTGTTCTTTTCTAGTTAAGTTTATTCACCAACGGTGAAGTAATGAAGTTTATTTGTTCATCTCTAGTTAAGTTTACTCACCAAAGGTGAAGTAATGAAGTTTATTTGTTCGTCTTCAGTTAAGTTTATTCACCAAAGGTGAAGTAATGAAGGTTATTTTTTCTTTTCTAGTTAAGTTTATTCACCAACGGTGAAGTAATGAAGTTTATTTGTTCATCTCTAGTTAAGTTTACTCACCAACGGTGAAGTAATGAAGTTTATTTGTTCATCTCTAGTTAAGTTTACTCACCAAAGGTGAAGTAATGAAGTTTATTTGTTCGTCTTCAGTTAGGTTTACTCACCAAAGATGAAGTAATAAAGTTTATTTGTTCGTCTCCGGTTAGGTTTACTCACCAGAGGTGAAGCCTCATTCATCCTTCTAAAATACTGCCTTTGTTAGTGTTAATTTTAAATATGTATTAGGGGAAAATGTGTCATAAAGAAATCTATGTATTAGTCCGTCTGAGATTTGGAACCTCATTGTAAATTCTGTGGCAGACCCAGCTAATAGATTCAAAAACAAAAGATCTCATGAGACAGAAGCATCAAGAATTAACAGTATCGAGGAATATTTAGGTATTTCCAATCTATCGAACAAAGGAACGTCAAATAACAGTGAGAAATCTGTAGCATTCTCCAAACTTTTAAACCATTGTGTTTTGTACTGGCTTTATACAAGTTCGTGGTACTGTGAACTAGATTATATATATATATATATTATGTAATTACAAGTATATAAACAAAAGTACGCACACACATCTTTATGAGAAAGTATATTTCCTTATTTTGTTATAACAGGCTTCTGCGGCTGCCATTTTAGTTAATCGGATATATAAAACAAAAACCCTTGTATAATAACTGGAGGTATCACAAGTTTCGAAATATACATGAAGTAAATAGTGAAATTAGAATATCTAGAAAATAGTCTCTAAAAACACTCCATATATTTTTTTAGTTCGGTTTGAATTTCGCACAAAGCTACACGAACGCTATCTGTCTAATTTAGTAGTGAAAGACGAGAAGGAACGCACCTAGTCATCACCTCTCACTCTTGGGTTACTTATTCATTAATGAATTGTGAAATAAACCGTCACATTATAACACCGCAACAGCTGAAAGGGCGAGCATGTTTGGTGGGACGGGGAATCGAACACGCGACCCGCAAATTGCGAGACGAGCGTTCTAACCAGCTGCCCATGCCAGAACCAATAAAAAATAAAAATACAAGACCTGACACAATAGGTAAAAACAATTAACTATAACATGAAAACATGATTTTATTTCCGTTCTGTACTGTTTGGACATTTATTTAGTATCGCGAACATAGTGTTTATAGACTTCAGATTACATTTTTTTCATTTAGTACACAATGCATGAACGTAACCGTTTTATATTTTACGTGTCACGAATACGTTTTATAACTTCGAGATTATCATTTAAATTGTTTACATACAAGCTAACTAAAAGGCACATTGTTCACAGGCACATTACGTGAATAATTAAATTAATTTTTATGCTATAGAACTCTGAAGCTAGTAAGAAAAATAATCCCTTTTTAGTAGCAAGAAAGCTGAAATGTCACAAGAAGAAGCATCCGAATACAGGCATGTACAATATTATTATTTTCAACAACGTAGCTATAACGCTGCGCCACCGGCGTTTATTACTTAATTCCTGAGCTCACCGGGCTATACGAGTTGCAACATTAAAGTCTTAGCTGAAGCGAGGTGTGAATAATCCAGATAATGAAACATTTAAGGTTGAATTGTTGAAAACTATGTCTAATTACATCATGGTGTTTTATCACACTTGCTGTTGTAAAAAGCGCCGTGCTTCAACAGTTTCAAGGCTGTAATCCATGTAGGTTAATGTCACAAAATTATTACATCGTAAGTCAGGATATTTAGTGATTACATGTTAAGTAAAGAAAAACTGTATTTTTTAAAATATCTCATGTAATACACTAACATAGTTTAATACTTTTCACAAAATCGATCGTGTCTGTATATTCGTAAAATCATACCCTTTCTTTAGAAAGTAGACCTGTAAAGCATCGTTTGTTTTTATACCCCAAAGCTACACAGTGGACAATCTATGCTATATTTACTGCAGGAATTGAATTTCGAATTCTAGCGTTATAAGTCCTGAGTCTTACCACTGAGCCATCTTGGAACTAGCCAAATAAGATAAATCATATAAAAAACAACCGGAAAGTTGGAAAACATGAACATTTAGTTTCATAAAAAAGGTATTGTAAAGGTATTTATGAACGTTATACAACTTCTACAATACTTTTGATACACAAACTTTCGCCAAAAGTTACTGAAGATTATATGTTTTATTTATTATTTAAATCAAAACACCCTTTCAACTCCTACCCTTATAGTTTGAGCAGTGTTAAACATAAAAATTTAATAAAAATTAAAGTATTTCAGTAATTAAGAAATTCATGCATACCGTATTTCAAGGATGATAAATAAAAATCCTTCATCAGGGGTCACTAGAGGTCTTTCTGTACGGAAGCATATTCCCATTCGTAAAACTACGCGGCGTCGTGTTCTTCAGTTAAAACTATTGCACTTGATTTTAGCGAGCTAGCTGAGATGATAAGCGTTCAAATTTTTAGTCTCTAAAATCATGCCTTTCTTTTTCTTTGTGAGACAACTTTGAAACCCAGTCAGGTTAATTGGGCGAAAGTTTTTTCGGCTGCTGCCTACAACAAAGTAGATATGGGAAACTGTTGTACTCTATTATTATAATTGGAAATATATATTAAGCCACTGTAAAAGTAAGTGTTTAAAATATAGTCAGTCTTATTGTAATGTTTCCTTACGTCACACAGCACAAAACTTGGGTGTTTATCTTTAACACAGGACTTGAAAAATAACTTATTTATTTCAACCAGAAGATTAACCATTCTAACACTATATTAAAAACATTATTCTTTAGAGAATAAAAGGTGGTTAAAACCGCAGTGCTTGCCTGTATCAGACAAGATAGATGTACCTGTTTATAGGTGACAGATATTATAAATATATCATATACTACACATAACTGTAGAGAACTGTGAGTTTCTAGTGTGTCCAAAATTTGATGGGTATCTTAAAATGTGTAAAACAAGTCGATGATGAACTTACAAGTATTTTGAATTACATTACTGTTTTCAAACAACATAACACTTTATCTTTAGATAATGAGTCATACCAACAACATTTTTGAGCTACAAACTGTCAAGCCCGTTCTACCTGAGGCTACAAGTTGTGAAGATAACATTAATAATTCAATAGAAAGTTGTTCCAGCCTCAATAACCAAGATAAGAAAGCAGATTCATGTAAGTGTGAATTTAACTTCCTATAACTTCAACCATGTTTACCACTAAAAAGCTATGTGTAAATATTTTCTTTAAGTTTTAAGAATACCATATACTTTTTAAGTGTCCCATAAATAGAAAAACAAGTAATATATTGTAACCAAACAATCTAAAAACGTGTTTTTTTTCTTATTTTAGAGATGAGATACATCTTAATAAATTGTAAAAGGAGCAATAATAAGAATAGATTTTAAAGTGTACAACAATGAATTGTATCTTAAGTTGTCTTTCGTTTATAACCATTTATTAACGTTTCATCGTGCTTGTCGTTTTATTGCTTCTTTATATGTACTCTATAACACATATAGTTAAAGTTAAACTGTTTTTAAATAGCCAAAGTATCACTGGAACTAATTACTTGTTTTACTTCTAAATTAATTTTAAAAGTGATACAGATTACGTTAACATAAGTATAATTGTAGTTATAATTTTTTATTTACAACTATATGATTGTATTTTTAATTTACTCTCACGATGAATTAAATGTTGCATTAATAACAGTGAATTCCGAATTTCTGAACATTACAAAATATTATTATTTAGGCTCTTTGAAGTGTGTGATTTTTTTCACCAACATTTGGTTTCAACCTAATTTTCTTGTACTTCTTCGGTGTTCTTAATAAACACTCATGAAAAATTATGAGAAAAGAAACGCAATCATTAAATGTCTACATGTTTTTCTGTTTATTTCCTTTGTCCGAATGACATTTCTTTACAATGTGGAAACTATAACGTTATGTTTCTAATTTCCGGGACTTTTAATTTTTCTTTTTTTAGATCCCGAGAATCAGTTACTACACCTGAAAGGCCAAATGATGTATATGGAGGAATGGAAAAATATTGTATACCTCGGGTCGCCGGTGTAAGTAGCCTTCGGCATACTGGATATATTATCACTGGCATATTCGCGAATATTTGCGATATCAAAAAATATATTTTTGGGTTGATTATTTAACATGGCTTATGAAAGTGAAATAATTAAATAGCCTCTGTATATATATATATACTCAATGTTTAACCTTATATATATATATATATACTTAATGTTTACCTGTTCTTCACGACATTAATAACACAGGCCAGCGAATTTAAACTTCATAAAAGTTTTTTTGATATTGATAACGAACGGATTTTTAATAATTCAGCTACGTAGATTTCGAATATAATATCCATTTTTTTCTGTTACTTAAGTATTTTTTTACAATTCGGAAAGAAAAAAACTCTTACTTAGATCAAATTATTATTTCGTTTACC